TTAAGGTAAATACTAATTTTTTAATTTTTAATTTATCCAACAATTCAAACAATGATATTAAACCTCAAAAGTCAAAATCAAATCTAAACTACACATTTTTTTTTTTTTTGCACTATAATTAAGATATATGAATTTATGATTACTTAGTACCTTATGTAGGAATGTGTTTGATTGTTTTTTAACACTAGCTGTCAATCAAGGGCGAAATTGCCTCCTAATCTCCGTTAATAATTTGGAAACTTAATCTTTTTTTTTTTTAATCGTTGACAGCATTTCTACCTTAACCTAGCGCAAATGATGACAAATAAAAATATTCCTCATCTGATTGCAATTCCTTAAGTTCTATATTCCTGTGCACATGAAGAACTAATTGTTTCACTTTAATTGTTCTACTTGAGTTTCGTGGAATTAACAAAATCACACTAGGTTTTAAAATATGCTTGGTTAAAACACATTTAAATAAAAAATAAAATAAAACAAAACAACAATTCAACTTTTATTCACAAAATTCAAAACACTTTACTTAACTTCAAATAAACCATAAATTCACAGATATACAATTAGTTCCCACACATGTTTGCCAGAACAATGAAATATAATAAAAAAATGTGAAAACTTCATTTAGGTTTGATAAAATCAGATTTTAGTCCTTAAGATCAAATCTCTTTTCTCTCTTCTTTCTTTTGCTCAGTTTTCTCCCACTTGTCACGCTCCTCTTCCCTTTTTGGCACAGACCTACTGCTTAAGAAACCCTTGTTCCTAATGTGTAACTACTCCATGAACTGTCCTCTGCTCCCCATGGCGCCCCCTAGGAAACTGTCTTGAAATTACTATGTCAGGGTCGTTGTACTGCAGCACTGGTCCTGCAATGCTAGAAATTGGCTCTGCAACACTGGACTCTTGGGTTGATTCTCCATATTTTCTTCTTCCATGTCGATTTTCATTGCACGAAATCATTGATACTGGGCTGCATGCTTTTAAATGTGTCTTCGCCAGCATTGCTCGGAAAAATTCTTACCAGTTCTTGTTTTTCTTGACGTAGGAATTCCTGTCAAACTAACTTTACATGTACAATTTTTTTATTTTTTAACACATTTTTAACGAACTTTATATTTACTTGTCTCACTCAACAAGTTACAATATGAGTCTTCATGGATGCTTTTAAATGATCCCAAACCTAAAACTGGGCAAGATTCAAAGCCTTGACTCTAAAATTAAATAATTATTAATTTTTTCCCCCTAAAATTAAACCTAAAATGGCATGAAGATAAACTTTAATCATGATTTGAATTTATCCCTAGCCATTTACATATGAAACGTATCATGCATTTTGAAATAGATGAATCAATCGAACAATATGAATTTAATTCTTGATGATGTAGCTTTTGTAACTATAATTGCATGTGCATATTGAAAGGACATTGATTTTGTTTTTATTATTATAGTTTACTCTTCAAAAATATGAAATTCAAATATTTTTCTATTTGGTTGAAGCCAGGGTGCATTATTCACCAGTTAGTATTTAAACCACTTGAATTAGGTTTCTGTAAAATGATTTTTTGCTTATATGATAAACCCATCATATTTTTGTGGTTTGTCAGTTATCTGAAAGATTTTATGGATCACATTAAATATGCATTTAAGCTTACATTTTCTCTTAATGCTAAAGTATATCCATTATGAAATATGTAATTATTTTAGAATTATCATATACATTATGTTATACTGTATTATCTATTAGTCTTGTACATGATTTGTATGAAAATTTTCATGAGCAACTTGCTATTAACTGCAATAGTACCAATCTACTAAATGTTGGAAGAAAGATATAGTGAGTTCAAAGAAAATGACATAATAATGAACGTTCTTAAGATTGAAAGATTTCATCAATTAATTTTCTTAGAAATTATCTACTAGAAAGATTGGACAATGCAGATGAATTGGATTTCTTGGAAGTTTTTTTTTACGTATTAGATTTGTCTTTATATCATAATCATCGACCAATACTTTGAATTTTTCTCTTCCATTCTTTCCTTACTTCACATACTCTACTTTTTTTTCGTTTATTTTCAAACATAAATACTAATCTATCTCGTATAATTATTCTTGATAATATGATAGTGTGTACTATTAATCATGGATATCAAAGATATATTGTTAGACAGAAAGATAGATTTCAATGTGATGTTTGGTGTTCATTTTGGAGGAACTTCAATTATTAGTAGGTATGTTAGATGAATATTCGGTAAACAATTCATTTTAGCTTTTTTTCAAGTCATCTTGAATTGCTGCAAATATTTAATGATTATGCTTATTAAGATTTTATATTTTTTCAGGACTTCAACAATCTATGAATTACTGTCCAGGACTCTAGTAATTTGCTAGAATTATATTATTATGCAACTTCTTATTTTAGGATTATGACAAATTTGGAGCTGTGTGCTGTAGCTATTCATTCCATCGGGCTTGTATTGTATATCATTTTGTAAATGCTATAGCGTCCCTTGGAAGCAACGTGTTGTATAACTTGAATACAACGAAAAGTGTGCAAGAGCTACTATACTGACACTCGTGTGTAGTGTTAAAAAAGCAAGTGCTTTCGTGGGAGGAAATAAGCGAGTGTTTCCGCATTATGGATGAATGCAGATAAAAAAGTTAGTCTATAAAATTAATATTATGATAAGATCTCAGGATATAGTACTATCACAGGTAAATGAATGAAATTAGTAGATATCATGGTTCATAGGAAGATAACTATCTTATGCATTCAAGAAATTAAATGGATTGAAAAAATGCCAAGGAGATTGATTGTTTAGGTATTAAGTTTTGACATTCAGGTATTAGTCTTACTAGAAATGATGTACGTGTAATTATATATGAGAGTTTGAAAGATAATATTGTAAAAATTAATAAAATTGATTGATAGAATTATAGTCCTAAAGATTGTTATTGATATTAATATTCTTAATGTTACAAGTGTTTATGTTACTCAAGTAGGTTTAGATATATGTTAAAAACTAAAATTTTGAAATGGATTAGAAGAATTAATACAAGTGATACCTTTTAAAGAAAGAATTTTAATTGGAGGTGATTTAAATGGACATGTTGGTAGTAGTAAAAGATTTTAAAAATTTTCATGGTTAGTACGATTTTGGAGAGAGTAACGAAGAATGTAGAACCATATTAAATTTTTTTTAGCTCATAATTTTATTATTGCAAATATTTTATTTAAGAAAAGAGATGAGCATATTATCACTTATAAGAATTAATCTAATAAAATTTGATGTAATTATTTTCTTATGACAAAAAGAGATGGTCGATATTGTAAAGATTGTAAGGTCATTCCAGGTGAAAATTTAAGTACTCGACTTCAATTATTAACTTTAAATTTTAAGATGAAGGTTTGGAAGATAAAAAATACAACAAAATATTTTCATATAATTAGATGGAGGCATTTAGAAGACAAATATAATTATTTTAATGATCAAGTTTAAGAACTTAAGATTTGGGATGTTCATGAAGAAGCTATTGCTATGTGGGATAAAAGCTTATTATTATTGTTATTGTTGTTATTGTTGTTATTGGGCTTGTAATATATATCGGGCTTGCAGTTTTTTCCACATGCTAGATTTCCATGTCTAAATTTCATCTGTCTATCTATTTTATATTGTATGAGTTCATAAATAAAGCATCTTATAAGACATGTAAAAAAAAAAAGAAACTTACTGCTTGAATAAAATTTCGTTTTTGTGGATGTGAAGCTTTCATCATATTTCAGGGATTTTAGTCCTAAATTAAGTGTAAAATTTGAGTGATAAGCTTGTTATTTGGTTTATTAATTTTCTTTTATATTCTCTGCTTTCCTTTATTTAATTTTCAATTGACAATATAATTTGTAATTTTTATATTTGATACATATCTAGCTTTATCATATCGTTGATGTCTTAATTATTGTGATTTTTATGATTCTATTTTATGGCTGATTTCATCAGACTACCAAATTTTTCATTGAAATTTTCTTATAACTATAACAAGTATGATAAAACAACACTTAAAGGACAATTTTTTTACATATAAATTATAAATATGAAATATCGTAAAAGCTCCAAATGCCAGTAATTTAAATAAAAAAAATTACATTATGAAGTATGATGTCATGTGAATGACATAAAAATCGTAATGATCAACAAAAGAAGAAATAGTATTGGATTAATTACTGCTGTAGCTTGATATTTTATAATATCTACTTAATCTCCAATCACACAATAATATCAGCATTAATCATTAGACAGCTTTCAACAGTGTATTATCTTTGCACAATATCAAAAACTTAAAAAATAATATATAAATTTCAAAATAACCACACAAATTTTCCAGAACTAATAATTGAACTCAGGAAACTCAGCACTGGGGCACTCAACCATTGTCCTAACTAAACAGAAATTTTCCTGAACCAGAAATAGGTTTTGCATGTTCTGTCCATGGCTATATATGTTATTAGAAGAATAAATTACATCACACTTTTTAGCTTCTGAAATACGTGTCAGATGCGTGTTATATTTGAAACAAACATGAAATTCTTTTTGAGATGGCGGTGCTTCATGGATAAAAAATAGGCATAACATATCTTCCATGTGATCAAACATTATTTGCATATTAAATTTACATTAAAGATCCTAGGTGTTAATATAGCTTTACTTGCAAAACATTCTTTTTTTTTCCTCAAAATAGTAATTTAACACCTTGCATAATACGGGAGTATATGTTTTGCATTGCAATCACATCTATCATGAGAAAGAAAACCTCATAATATTTTTATTTATTAACCCCTTCTATTCAAATCCAAATTCCTAAATTGGAAAAGTCTATAACCCTCTAGGAAAGTTTTCCATAATTGTGAATTCCTTTGGTAGTATTAACCATGAATCAATCCTCCTTACCCATACATCTTATAAACAGACCTGCTATCTCAGAGATGAATCCTCCTCTTTGTTTTCCAGGTTCAAAGATCTGTTCAGGTTATCAGAGACAAGCAAGACCTCGCCGATGCCCACAAGGAGCTCACCAAACTTCATCTCTCCCAAAAGGAAACTGAGGATGTTACCGCAGCAATATCCGACACTAAACCTCAGAATGATAACAATGACATGTCAAACCTGCAGTTAACTCTCGCTCTTCCCAACCAATCCTCCTCCCCACACCCCATCAAAGTTCCTGATCAAAGCCCACCGCTCAAAGAACCACCATTACAGCACCCTCCACCCGCATCCGATCAATACATTCAAAATCATGCAACCACATACTACACTCACCACCAACCTCCTCTACCAAATGATCATCATATCCAGCATCTCCAACCCGAGCTACATTACACACCACAAAAAGCTCAAGTCCAAAATCATTCTCACCAACCGCCGCCGCAGCAGCAACCCCCGTTCTCTCAGTACCAGCAGCAATGGCCTCAGCCAATGCTGCCTCAACCATCCTCTTCTCAAAGCCAAGTTCCAAGGCCACAAACTCTGCCCTCATATCCCACATATACCGCTTATAATCAATCTTCCATCACTGAATCATTCCAAAGCAGCAGCATTCCGCCCCCCGCGCCATACCCGATGCCGCAACCAATCGGATACGGAGTCACTGGCAGCGGCATTTCCCATCCACCGCCTCAGCATATTATCCAGCGGCACACGTCACCGCCGCCGCCGCCGCTTGTGAAGAGCAGTTTTATCGGATCCAATCCCTATCCACCTCAGCCGAACATCCAAGCTTATACTTCAGGCTTTGCCATTGATGGAAGCAGAGCATCTCATCCACAGAACTATCAGACAAACATGAACAGGCCCCCTACTCCGCAGATTTTGCGCAATCACCCCTACGGGGAGATGATTGAAAAGGCTGTTAATATGGGTTATTTAAGAGACCATGTGGTTAGTGTTGTGAAACTACTGGGAGAGACAGGTCAGCCTTTTGATTTCAACGCTTTGCTTGATGAGCTGAATAATGGAGGTCCTCCTCGGGCCTGGTCTCGCTAGAGGTGGCGTTTTATTTAGTAATTATTGGTTCGAGTCGTCTTATTTTGTAAATATTTAATTTGAAATGTTGTTTTTTGTTAAAATAATATTTTCCATGTTGGTTGGGATGTATGTGTGAGAAAAAACTCATAATTACATTATTAAGTTGTAAATGCAAATGAGTTAATGTGATGTTGAAGTGGCTGTGCATCAATATGATTGTGGGAGATTCATATATATTCAAATTTTTGAAGATGGGGGAGATACATGCATCACTTTTATAGAGGAATTATATGGCTTCCATATATTATTTTGGTTGATATGATTTCTAATTATTGATTTCTATTCTTTTTAGATCCTTTTGTTGTATTTGTTTCACTATTATTTCCCTACCAATAAATAAATAATTAATTAAGTAAAAATTTTATGTTTAATTGAAATAATTAAATAAATACATTATTGCTTTCATATTCAAATTCTAGAACTAAAGATGTCTTGATTGAAATTTTTTGTTTCAATTAGTAAGTTAAGGTGGCTTTGCATATTAGCCTTCTGATTGAATATCATTACTTTTATTTTTAACATCATTGTTTAAAGTATAAATCACTTCGAAATAGAAAGCCCGGCAGGAGTGGTCATATGCTCGTAATATGCACGAGTAGGGTGCAAAAGAATCAAGTCAAGCTTGAGCCACCTTCGACTTGGCTAATTTTATCGAGCTCGAGCTCAAGTCTATGAGTTCGCCGGCTTATTTAATATTAAAAATTTAAAATAATGTTATAATAAAATGACCATTAATATTTATTTTTTTCATGTCTACATAAATTTAACAAACAAAAGAATGAAAGCATGTCTATAAAAATATTTTAAATTAATATAAAAAGTAATTTTTGTTAAATTCAAAGTTAAAACTGTCATTGTTATATGAAACATGTATAAGCCAATAAAAGAAATTATCCATGATAAAATTTTAATGCGAACAAAATAAAATGGTAGCATTAATTCAATAAGTTAAAGATTTAATCATAAAATAATTTAAATAATATCTATTAAAAATGAGATCAGCCAAAAATTAATAAGATCATAGGTTGAAAGGACACGTTTCCTTTGAAAAGAAATACATAAAATTTAGTTTCAAAATATTAGAAAAGAGAATGACATGAAATAATTCTTAAAACTACTTATTAAGATATGACAAATAATTCAATATTATTGAAAGGAGCTGACAGAATGGCCGAAAGAGGGATGATATGTGGCTAACCATGGCATGAACATTGAGCCCATGGTGCCGAGGACTCGAGATTCTGTTGGCTTGGCAAGGTGGCTACTTTGTCAAGGACTGAGGGTAGAGCTATCAAAAAAGCTTGTTGTTCGCGAACAACTTATGTTTAGCTCATTAAATAGTTTATATTTGAATCATTTATTAAGCGAGCCGAACACGAACAACCATTTGTCCGATCATGTTCGGCTCGTTTTAGCTCCAAATGTGATAATTATATATATATATATATATATATATATATATATA